AAAAAATACTGAAAAATAGGATTTCCTAAGGAAAATAGAAACTTAAAATAGCACCGATTTAAAATTTCTTCTTTTGCGGTGATCTCATTTCCTTAGGATCAGTTTCTTATTACCCCTCCAAGTGTGAGGCAGAGTTAAATCTTCCTGCAAATTAATGTTCTGATTGTATTTAAAAAATAAGTTCCAATTAAGCAAAGCTTAATTAATTATATTTATTCTACAGATTGAGTGTTGCCTTGTCCTACTCTTGGGCACATAAATCTGGGATGTGGAGCATTTCAAGGCTTTAATTTTGAAAAGGATCAGAATTGGATTTAGCTGTCACCTTTTACTGTCTGTCTGTAACTGAAAGAGAAATGGAACAATCCTGAAGGGTTGATGACAAGGCGGACTTTTCCTATAGCTGAAATCACTGCTGTCACACCTTTAGTTCCATTTTGGAAATACAAAAATGATTTTTAATAGTTGCTAGTGGTGAATGCTTCATTTACACCACTAGAAATTTAAGGCACTGCTTAGTTTTAAATTAGAACATAATCAATATCCTATCAAAGCCTTTATGGGTTGTTTTTAAAGGGCATGGAAGGATAGAAAAAATTAAAAGAAGAACATAAGTAGCAAAATCTTAAACCATAAACTGAAATTGAGAACTAGTTATCCAACTAGTGCTCCAAAAATCTAAACCTTTATTTTTACTACTGCGAATTCATTAATAGCATTTGTTGATCATCAAGTGACAAGTAGACAAAACATGGAAGATAAATTTTTGCAAATAAGGCATGCCAAAATACAGAAGGAAGCTATTTAGCCGATTATATGTTTACCTTACAAGGTTTAAAATCTGAAAGGAAAGTTTTAAGATTTAAATTATTTTGAACACCCCTAGTTTTGAAGCTTCAAAGCATCCTGGTTCAAAACCTGCTGAGCCTTTATCCACTGGTTATAGAAAATCTAAAGCATCCAAAATAATGGGTTTTTTCCAAAGGTCATCTCCTCACAGCACCATAAATGAGGTTGTTTTGGCCTTTTAATGGTAGAGTCTATTGTGACAAAAAAAAAAAGAAAGAAAAAAAAGGAAAAAGTTAGAGACTACCATTAAAAACCTCCTGGTATTCTTTGTCTTGCATTGTTACATGGGGAATGATTAATGCTGTAAAGAGATTTGTTTTTTTTCATTTTGTTTTCCCTATCCAAAAGTGTATAGTGGGCCATAAACAGAGAGAAGTTCTCAACTGCTGCTGTAAGCAATGCTGAAATCTTCTTCCAGTTCAGGAGAGCTGCTACATGCCCATTCACTCAGAAAAGTTTGCTGGGAAAGCTTTAAAAACCAGATGAGTTGATGGCTTGTGCATCTCACCTGGAATCTTTTGTTCCTCCAGCTCTTGTCGTACGCTTCCTGACGAAACGGTTCATCTGGGAGTATGACCCGACACTAGGTAGGTTGCATTTAATTCTGTACATATGGTGTGCTGTATATAATAGCACAGCTGAAGTAATGGAAAGTCATAGAGTTAAAATTCCAACCCTCAATGAACCTTTAGATTTGCTGTAAAAAGCTTCTCTATGGTCATTTAAAGCTGGAACAAATTATTACCTAAGATGGCAGAATAGAGAAGGAGTAACACACTCAAACGAAAGCAGAATTAATATACGAGGCATACTTCTGCCCACACAGAAGTCAGTGGGAATTTTACCATTGAAAGCAATTGTGTTAGTATTTCACTCTGAAAATTATTTAGTGTACGATCAGTTTTCTGCTCTTGGATAATCCAAGCATTAGCTACTAGAGAATGAGATGGCTGAGATACAGATCTCAAAAATTCAAGAGGAAAAATAATCCATAACAACCCAAACCAAAACTGTAGGTACTTACAGTCAGTCTACCTAGATTTAGGTAAGTTTTTTGTCCTCACTTGTAAAATATATTGCATCTCACTTTCTGGTTGACGAGATAGGAACACCAGTCATCAAAAGAGCATCCACATGTCTCTTCCACTGCTCCCACTTGGCTGTGTCAGGTCTGGCATTTTTGAGAAGCTGGGGCAGGTTTCTCAAAAAACCCTGTCAAAACGTTGCTCTGAATTAGAGGCCTTGCTTGAAAATTTGGGCCAAGCTCCCATTTCTTTGTATTTCCTAAGTTAGCATATATTTGAATGCTCTGCACCAGGGAAAATCCAGGTCAAGAAGTCAGAGATGAGGCATTCACATCTCAGAAGGCCTCTTCAGTACCTCAGGACTAAGTGATTTGCACATCAAGTAAAGGGCCTGGAAATTTCCTTTTCTCCTACAATCTGTTGCTGTCTCCTTCCTAACTCTTCTTGGAGGCTCACATACAGATCGTGCAGTTTAATACCTATTTCTTTGTTAGTGTTCTTTCTCTAAAAGGTCAAATTAAAGAAATAGAGAACACCATAAACTTGCACAGCAGAATCAAAGATGAAAGTTTAATACATTTTATTGCAAAACCCAGGCAACCCTTTCAACAAAGCTAAGTATCCACTATTGTACTAAGTATCTTCATCTGGTAAAAAGAAGAAAATACAGATATCAGAAATTTCATCTTGGTGAAAATAGTTCTCAGAACAACCTCAACTTGAATACATTCTTTTGTCTGCTCATATCAATACCTTCATCAGTGAATTACATGCCAGCTGCCTTGTATTGCACAGTGGGATGTTCAGTATAATGTTTTATTAGTATTATTAGCATTAGTGCTTCACATTTCTATCACTAATGTATCATTTTAAGAACTTGACAATAGAAGTATATCAAGTGTTTTGTATCAGTGTAGTCCGAGTTAATTCATGCCTTACAAGGACACTGCGTGCAGAAGTATCCTTGTTGCCTTGTTTAAACACACAGGCTAAGTTATTAGCAAGCTGCAAGGTTTATTATTTTTTGCCCCATTATGAAGGCCCAATGTCTTTTTTTGGTGTACAAGACTTGACATTTGTTTCTGTTTTACAACTGAATACAACTTCAAATTAGCCATGCCCTTCAGGAGTCTAATATTCTTCTGTTTGCAACACAGAAAGCTTTTCTGCAGACAATGGTCCTATCTCAATAAAACAAAATTTAAATTTCTTCTGACATACTGAATTCTACATTTCCATTCAGTTTAGAGGATAAGAGCTTAAATCATGTATTACAGTTATTGCAAAGCTAAATGCTTTAAGTTACTCAGAGGAAAAGGTTTGAGAAATGCAAAAATAATAAACTATTATCAATAATTTACTTAATCACAATAATCTTTGGTGGAAGCTGCCCACCAGGTTTTTAAAGTACTGCTTTTTCAAACTATGGATCACAATAGGATTCAAAAGAGGCCCAGAGGTGTTAGAAAAAAAAATCTCCCAAAATTCTAACCACTATTCAGGCCTTCAGACAACAATCAGAAAGGCACTGTACCTTCCAAAGCTTTGAGAAACACTGCTTTAAAGAACCCATTTCTGTCTTTATCATTATCTTCCTGCAGTGATTTAGCAGCCAATTACATGTAAACATCACTGAGCTGAATTTACTGAGACGTTTTAGCTGAATAGATTAAATTCTTTTTAGTAGTCATGGACTGGCAGTTGATTGGAAAGTTGGGTATCTATATATTCTACCAATATGAAAAGTTTAAGCTGTGTCAGTGAGACCCATTTCTGTATAGTGAGAATAAGTAGCTTTGTCAAGTGATTTTGAAATGGCAGGAATAAAACAGATGCAAACTATCTAGCTACTAAGCAACAGGAAGTTTTGCCAAAAATCACTGGGGCTGTGACAAAAAATGTCATAGTTTATTTCTCACGTCAAGTTTTCAACCGCTCATTAGCCCTCTGATACAAGGAATCCCCGGATAATTACTATTTTTAGGAAAACTTTCGCCAAGCTGTACAAGTCCTGATGGAAATTCAACATTATCCTAAAATAAGCATCAGGGTAAAAAAACCTTCTTCTCTTTTATTTCAAGGGTGACACATTCTAACTGGAAAGGCAAAAACACACCTTATAAATATTCTTTACTACTCTAACCTGCCAGATGAAAATGAAGGACCATATTTTTAGCAGCATCTGGATATACTGCTGTGTCTCCAGGAGCCAAACTACAAACCACAAAATAACATTTGCTGACGGGAGGAGCATCACTGAATCTTGCAAGCTTTGGCTCATGGAGCTGCTGCTGAAGTCAGGGCTTTGCAGCTCTGCCACTTTTGTGCGTGATGTTGGACCTGTGCAAGCATCAGTAGGACAGCTGCATCTTTGCAAAAGTACACATCGCTCTGCTTTTTATTTTACTGTTCTCAGCCAAGGGGTAACAACTGCAGCAAAGGTCATTTTCTGGGGAGTCTTAACTGTCAGCTTTGACTTCTCTATCATTTCTTAACTGGCAAATCACTGTTACCATCTTGGCATGTTTTTTGTTTGTTTGTTTTGTTTTGTTTGTTTCTTTTTTTTAACTACCTAATCTATCAGGCTAAGTGGCTAGCTGACATTATCAAGGCAAATTAGTTTCCACTTTCAATCCTTATTTACAATAAGTCACATAACTATCCCATATGTGCAACACAATTAGAAGGTCCAATGAAAGAGCTCTGTGTAGAAATAGACTAGAACTGCACAGTTAAAAAATACATGCAGTTGTTTTCTAAATGACTAACTATATGAATTCAGCATTAAACTTAGTCCTTTTTAGCTCATTAAATATGTACTGAAAAAAGGGGTTGGATTACCACATGGATTTCACCAAAATTAATTATTGTTTATATGTTTTTTAAACAGAACACAACTCGCAAATTAATAAGCAAATTCAGTGTGGTGTTAGAAGACCTAAAATCACCTGGCCTAGTTAGGGCACCACTGAAGCCACAGCCTAAAAGTGCTTCAAAAACATAAGCCACACGTCCGCCGTGGATTTAACACAGATCTGGAAATTTGTGCTATATTTCTTTTTTGCTCTATGAAGAGATTCATAGAAGCAGCACAAAACCAAGGGATCCTATGTACTATTTCAGCAGTGCTTGCCAGGATCCAGGTGGCAGCAGGCTGACAATTTGCCTGCCACTGAGGCTACTTGGCTCGGGGGGAGTTTGCAGTCTGCAAGCAGCCACCCTTGCAGCAGCACCACTGCAGGAGGTCCTCTCGGGTCTTGACCACCCCAGCACTGCCACAAAACAAGACATGTATAAATATGTAACACCTGCCAGCTTACATCAGCTCAGGGTGGGCATCCTCTATGGGGATGAGTTTAAGGTGGAGATGCAAAGACCTTTATTTGGCCACCTTCCCTTTGTAGGTAAACTCCTGGCCTGAATGTAGGACTACCAGACTTCACATCATGATTTTCAGTGCTGCTGTGAATAGCTGCGCTTCTCAGTGCCAGTAAATAGGAATAATAGTGTGGATCTCAGCATTTTCTGCCATGAGCTAGTGGCAGTGCCCAGAATTTAGGATGCTTTCATGTGACCTCAAGGATAGCAAGAGATTGTGGTTTGCCATCAAACAAGTAATATTTAATTGATTTTAAAATTGGAGATGCTGAAGCACAGTAAGTTATCAAGGGAACTGGTAAATTTATTTTTCTTGGGGGAGCAAAAGAGGAGAAGGAAGCCTGAAAAGTCATCACAGCAGTAGACAGATACAACTGATGGACTGCAGAATACTTCAGGGGCAACAGCGAATTACCTGCCTCCATAAGTCATGACATGCAAGGAGAATCTCCTGGATCAAATGATGACTGAAGAAAATTCATCGGAGCTATGGCTAAGTGGGTGCTTTTTAAAATAAGTTTTGCAGTATTTCTCTGAGAACACATTTGTTGACATTGTTGACAATTCGCTTATCTAGAAACATAGCTGGGATATCCAAAATATTTTTAAAAAATAAAACTCAGGTACTTTCTGAGGCACAGGGACTTAAAACATTCATTTTTGTTGTATACAGGGGGAAAAAAAGCACCAAGGAAATGTAGGAGACAGGTTCCTCAGTTCTTTACTTGGTTCTGTCCCTGATTTGTTGCCCGCAGTCTCTGCCTCTGCTTCTCACCTATAAAATCCTTCAGCTTATAGAAGGGTTGTAAATCCTTTAAGCAGCTGGCACTCACAGAGTTAAGACTCACATACCAAAGGTGCACAGAAACACCAAGCAATTCTCCAAAGACTGAATTTTAAACAAAAACAAAAGTCTGCTTATAAAGTAACTTCAACCAAAGAGATAATATTTTTGTTGACCTTTCTAAAAGTCTCTTGGCTGTCTCACACTACCCCTAGATGTCTTTCTCTTGCTGTTCACATATTTCATACAACTTTGCTAATCCTCTGAAAGGAAAACTGTCTCTGAGCAGATAATCAGCAGCACAGTGCATGACAGACTGGCCTGTATATGAAGGTAAAGAAAGATAGAAAGCATAGGAGTTTATTTAATTTGAATGGTATAGAGAAAAGACTATTCATTA